CAAAAGTTTGTTTTAAAAAAAAAAGTGACAATTTATTTTTACTGTCCGCGTATAAAATAATAAACAAAACACAGAAATAACTTACGTTCTTCGCTCAAAGGAACTGAAAACAACAAGTGAAAACAATCTTCACATCATGTGAAGGTGCTATTTATAAGACTGAGTTTGTTGCATCTTCTCAGACTGAAGAAGTCTTTAGGATAAAAGATGAAACGTTTCAACAAAAATAATCCGTCCAGAGGACCTGACTTAACTTTGTTGGATTTTTCTACCTGGATTATTGAACATCAGGATAGTATAGAATATTCTAAACATATTCTGAGTGCTGACAGATTGTGTGAGATTTTAGTTTAAAATTTTGCCATTAACTTTTTTGGAGTCAACTTTGTCTGTTGTCAGAGATTTATTGAATCAAAAGGCAGATTTGAGGTAAACTTTCTGAAAATCATTGAACATATATCTACAATGGATTAACTTATGGAAAAGATCCATTTCAAGATGGCTGCCGCAGCTAATTGGCATTAGCCAACTCAAAAAATCTGTAATTTTGCTACATTAAATCTTGATGTGGGAGTAGATGAATCATTCACAACACACACTCTGAAAAAGACGTCTCGCAACTCTGTAGGAGTTTGATCATGAAGTTCTTTCCAAGGTTTGACCAAAACAGCTACAGCTCTGATAAATGTAAGATAATGTCAGCGTAACGACACGAAAGTACACCTGTCATTTCTATCCCAGACCCGCGCCTGGCCCGAACCCGAAATATGGGCCAGGCCAAAATAATGTGCTGGATGAGTGGGCAGGGTCGGTATCGGGCTATTGATTGCGTCAGCGGACGCACGCGGCTGATGATCCAAATTGGATCACCAGCCGCGTGCGTCCACCAACCGTTAATAACTATAATATTATAATAACTGTAATATTATAATAACTATGATATTAAAATAACTATGATATTATAATAACTATAATGTTATAATAACTATAATGTTATAATAACTAT